CTGTAATTTTTCATTTAATTGTCCAATAGTCATTAGTAGATAGTCATTAGTAGTGAAAAAACTGCTCAATTCAATTGTTGGAGTCAAAAAATATAACGCATTTAGTGATTTAATTCAATTTTTGTGTTTGATAATTTTTTGCGGATTTTTCATTTAAAATGCGGATTTTTTCGATCGAAATTGCGGATTTTTAAAAATTCGAGATCGAAGCCCTGTGTAAACATTCCATCAGTCAATTCAAGTTGGAATTCTTTTATGACGAAAATATAAAGCAAAATTAAAATTAAATTTTTTATTTTTTAATTTTTTAGGCTAATGTAAAATAAAATGATGTGAAGAGGTAAACAAAAATTATTGGCATGACATATACCAGACATGTGCAACATACGGATAATATCCGGATATTCGCGGATATGTCCGTATTCGGATGGATATTCGAAATTATAGGTACTCATAGAGAAAATCTCCAAATCACTCAATATCTTTAGGTCACAAAATCCTGAACACAACCTCTCTTTTTCCATAATTAACTGACCTAGTAAACTACCTGTCACTATCATAAGGAGCAAAGAAGTAAAATGCTCCAGTTTGTGCCCATTAATGAAACGCCTTTCTTGAAGCAACTTCATTTTTTTGATAAACAAACTTTTTTCTTAACCCGCCCATCCCTGCTGTTAGTAAATCTAAATTGAGGTTAGTAAATGTAAGTAAATGTTTAGTAAATGTATACTAGGTTGTAAGGAAAGAATGAACACTAAAAAACAACAAATGAACATAGAAAAAGCAACCAACAACTGAACATAGAAAAGCAATTGAGAAAAGAGTTTATAGGAATGGTTTATATAAGGAAATTTTATCTCTTTAATCTTAGGAATTGTTGGGAAAAATATTTTTTATAAACGACCGGAAAGGAAATTAAGTATAACTAATTTGGAAAAAATTCGCAGCGCGACATAGGATCCTATTTCACGATTTTTTGGACCTAAAAAACCGCTCTAGTTATTACGGTACAAAAACCGGTACGGTAGTAAATTCCGATCACTACATTAAACTTCTGGTATAAGTTTATCCTCCATTGCCCTATAAAAATATGTACAAAACGATAAAATGTTCAGAAGGAAGAAAACCTTAAATACATGTAAAAAGTAGGCGGGCAAAGGCGTTTATACTATGCCAAATTTCACAAGAATTCACATAAATGATGTTTGTATGCTAATCACATTTTTTTATTATTTTTTAAAAAATATTTAAAAAATCAAATCATTAAATATTGTACTCGTATTTAAAGAAATCGGGAATCCGTTAACAATTTTAACAGATTGATAGAGAACTTTGGATGTTTAGTAACAGCCATTTTGTTCGCCTATATTTTTTTAATCATTACTAGGGCGTGTAATTATATGGATATAAAATCGAAAAATATGGCCATAAAATATGGATATAAATTCCCGAAATATGGATATAAATATGGAGATAAACACTAAATATGGTTATAAAATCCTGAAATATGGATCAAAAAATAGTCAAAAGATATTTTAAAAATCAGTATTTTATATAGAAAACAATAATTTTGCCTTTAACTTTGCATTTTAAGAACATTCTAAAGGATTTTATGGATTTAAAATTTCCGTTAAAATTTTTTTGAAAATAAATTTTTCCGAAAAATTCTCAGAAAAATTTTTTGACCAAAAATTTCCAAAATTTTGAAAATTTTTGCCAATTTTAGTAAAATTTACTAAAAAATGACCAAATATGGACAAAATATGGAAAATATGGGCATAATGCCAAAATATGGAAAAATATGGAAAATATGGATTATAAAGACCATTCTAGAAACCCTAAAACAAGCCAAAAACATGTTTTTCGTACGTTTCACAGTCATAGGAATTCAGGAAAAAAATATGGATTTCCATATAATTACACGCCCTAATCATTACATTCCAAATTGTTTTCACTGACCAAATTGTTTTCCCCGGATTTCAATGTGCTTTATCACAGAAATAATGATGCTGAAGTATCAAGAATAAAATATGTTGCTGCAGATCAAGCATTTAGAGTAGCTGCAAATACCCTTGGAATTAAACTTTTTATTGACGGAATTTATCTTTTTAACTTATACTTACTTATAGCGTTCACTTTCTCATTGTTGACATAAATTGTAAAAATACATAAAAAAAGAGGCCAGCAAAATCGTTCACAATTAACCAAATCTTCACAAAAATCACTCACAATAATTCACATGAATGGAATTTGCGTGACTAATCACATTTTTATTTATTAATTTTTACAAAATTATTATGAAAATTAAATAAATATTGTACCCTATACAGAATTAGGCAAATCTTTTTAATATACATATACCGTATATTAATGCCCAATAACGTTAAGGTAAAATTTTTTATTTTTTCAAAGGACAAATATGGAATTTTTATTTTATTTTTGCTGGCCTCTTTTTTATGTATTTTTACAATTTATGTCAACAATGAGAAAGTGAACGCTATAAGTAAGTATAAGTTAAAAAGATAAATTCCGTCAATAAAAAGTTTAATTCCAAGGGTATTTGCAGCTACTCTAAATGCTTGATCTGCAGCAACATATTTTATTCTTGATGCTTCAGCATCATTATTTCTGTGATAAAGCACATTGAAATCCGGGGAAAACAATTTGGTCAGTGAAAACAATTTGGAATGTAATGATTAAAAACTTCAGAAGCGATCTAAACGGTCATTTTTGTGGACATTTAGGCGTTTTTTGTTGATGCGAAAGTTTACCCACCTGTATCTCGCTAATGGATTTTTTCTGAAAAATAAGGCAAATGCTATCTTGTAGCAAATTTCAAGGGCTTTCAGATAGGCTAAAAATAAAATTTCAAAACTACCCTTAATGTGTCGAAAATATTTTTTAAATAGACTTACCCCCGTTTTCGTTGATTTTCGAGATTTTAGAGGTAAATACAAAATCTCATAAAGATAACTTGATTAAGCAACGAAAAATGTAAAAAAATTAAAGTGGGTTATACTTTTGAAACAGAGTGTATTTAATTAAACTTTTTGATATTAGGCAAATAATTTCACAAGTTAAAAAAATTTAAACTAATAACCTTTTTGCAAAAAAAAAACTTTTTTATCCAAAATTAAATAATGTAAATAAATCCCACAAAATAAATCCCAAATATCCATAAAAACTGGACGTTTTGTTTAAATATAATAAAATATTTTAAAAATACACAGAGTTGCCGTCATATTTTAATTTCTTTTAAATTTTTTTTTCAGGAAAATTAAGGTCCTAATTAGAAAATTTATTTTTAACTATATTAATAATAAATAATAATTGTATCATTTACTATCATTTAATCCTCAAAATATTATTTTAGATGTAAGACGGCAACTTTGTTATCAAAATAAATGTTTTTAAATCAAATTTAAAAAAATTAGAATATAAAATTCCCAATTTAAATAAATCCTACAAAATAAATCCTCAATCAAATTTAAAAATCTTTAGAAACCCCAAAAAATCCCAACAATCTTCTTCATCCTCAGAGCTGTTTCGATAGTTACGCTTTCTATTTTTGAATTTTTAATTTAATTTTTCGGTTAATTTTGGTTTGGATATCGGATCCGAATTTAGATATCCGCGATTTCGCAGGATTCCCAGGTCCCTTGCATTTTTAATTCCTAAGATTTCAAGCAAAAGTTTCAACAACAAAGGGACCTTTTTATTTTCGAAGGATTTTTCTCTCTCGAATCAGCTCTGTTTATCATAAATAACTCATTAATTTTTTTACGTGAATAAATGTTTTTAATAAACGGGTAACCCTTAACTAACTTCAGAACAGTTAAGTCCCATCTAGGGTTGTCGGCTCCTGGAAATTCTTCGAATATCCGAAACCAAATCGAAGAACCGAACCGAAAAATCCTCGGTTTTTCGTTTCGGCCCAGAACCGTCAACCCTAGTCCCAGCCTCTATAACTTATGCAGCAATGGTCACTTCTTAATGTTCTTGGTACCAATATATAAAGAATTAAATACATTACAAGAATTCATTAAACACATAGGTAATTCATGATTGAGCGTTAGAAATGTTATAATTGATAAAATTCCGAAAAATCAGACTTTTTGAAAAATTTAGTTTTTAATCATAACTTTTTTTTATCAATCAGTCAAGAATTATGATTTTTTGTTATCTTGTAGTGTATTTAATTCTCTATTCATTGTTATCAAGAAGATCAAAAATTATCCACCGCTTCTTAGGTTTTAGGGCCGGGGCTCTGTTGAACTGCTCTATAAAGGTGTAAAAATAAATAAATCCCCATAAAATTTTAAAAAATCCCCAAAAAAACCCAAAAACTAAAAAATCCCAAAAACTAAAAAAATCTCAAATCCCCAAAAAAATCCCCAAAAATCCCAACAATCTCTTCTTCATCACCCAATCATTCCCCAATATATTCTTCAATCTTTCCAATAAAAATGCTTTTTATCCATGGATTGTCGTTGTCGTAGAAATCATCAAGTACTTTAGTTCTCAATTTGTTTACAGCGACTTGATAAACATTTTGATTAATACTGCTAAAATAAATGTTTTTTATTTAAATATTTAATTAAATTATTTAAGTTTACCTTTCCCCAATTATACTATCAAGAGCATTTCCAATTTGTTCATTAAAATTCTGGTTTGGTATTACTAATATGCCAATATTTAGGTGTTCAACGAGGGAAGAAAGATAAAACTGATCACCCCCGTCCGGGATACAAATCAAAGGAACACCGGCATAGACTGACTAAAATATTAATTTTATTTTAAATATTCCGTATAAAATAATAAACAGATCAATATTGTAAAGCATATTAAGGCCGGGCATTAGGTTCGCAATTCAAAGAGACCGGTATAATACCGCCCGATACCGGTCGGGATTCCAATACCGTTGAACCCTAAAAAAAGCAGCCATCGATATGATTGTTTGAATTTAGATGTTCATTAAATTGAGTTTTGATAGTATTAAATTAAGTTACCTCAGTCAAGCTGTTTATTCCACAATGGGAAATGAATAATTTTGTATTTACTTTAGCTGAAACATAAAATAAATTAAAATAAGCATTAAAAATATATAATTACCCAATATTTCTTGTTGATCATCAACAAATCCTTCAAAAGAAATATTTGTCTTGCGATAATGTTTTTTTAAATAATGATCTGCACCCAATCTGACTTTGAAAAAGCAATGCTCGTAATTTGTAAAATTTTTAAGCATTATTTTAAGATTATCCTGATTCATCCCTTCAATGTTTATTGTACCAAAGGAGACATAGACAACACAATTAAACTTTAAAAAGTATTTATGAAACATCTTTTAAGAATAATTTCATTAAATTAATTTACTGTCAAATCTCCAGATTTAAATGTGTTTATTCTATTGAACTTTGCCGAAAGTTTAATAAATAACTTTTGGGTAGAGTTGGTCACGGTACCGTATTACCGCGGTATTTTTCAGTAATACCGCGGTATTTTTACCGAAATACCGATACCGAATACGGTACCGAACAATTATAAAAAAATCGGTATTTTTTCGGTATCGGTATTTTACCGAAAATACCGATACCGATACCGAAAAATCGCGTTTGACCAACACTACTTTTGGGTCACCCTGTATAAGGTCTCTTTATTTCCGACATAGTAAGGAGTAAAGAGATGTCCAAGAACTTGGTCTTGAGTCTTGATTCCAAGACTTTTCTTGGTTTTTTTTCGGTCTTGATCTTGGTCTTGGGGTCTAATCTTGTCTTGAATCTTGGAAAATTTTCGGTCTTGGGCATCTCTAGTATGGGGGCATTTATTTATTAAATGAGTTATCCATAAATGACTTGATGTTTTGAATTATCCTGGCCTCGATTCTGAGTATCTCGTTCATTATCTAAGAAGCCAGAATTCTTCTTAGAGTCTGTTACTTGCAGTTTTTATGTCAATAAAAAAATTAAAATAAATTTTACTTCTTCATCTGTAGGATTTCTTTTATATCTTTCAGTCAGAGTTCCTTTATTCTCAACAAGAATTCCACCAATATAAATAATTTTATCGTGTTGTGGAAATTGTTTAAAATTAACAAATTTGTGTTGATTCATAAAATGATACTTAATTTGTTGAAATAATTTAACCAATTTTGGTACTTGACTTTTAGTGATTATCTCTTCATAGAGGACTAATTCATTGTAGTTGTAATCAGAGGATTTTGTTAATCTACGCAAATCCTGTCGATTTACATTTTCATAAATTGTACTATATTTCATTTTATCATCAGGAGTCATTCTGCCATGAATCCATTCTGCTGGTACAACATTTTTAAAATCTTTAAAATTAATACTATCATTCAGGTATCTGGGGATATGGAATTTTGAAAATAACAACGGATAAGTTTTGTGTATATCCACAAAATATCCGTAAAATCCGCCAATTTATTGAGAAAATTAACTCAATAAAGTAGAGGCAACCAAGAATCCTGATATTTACTTTCGACTTGTTAGTTTTTCAGATCTTAGTCGTTAGTTGATTCATAAGAATATCCTATATTTTTGGATATTAATGGCCAAAACTGAGATTTTATTTAAAGATTAGGAAACTAAAGAATCAAACGATTATCAAACTATACTAATAAAGTCCGTTAAGAAATTATAAGACCCCCCTATTTTTTGCTGTTAATCATATATCAAACAGGCTAAATGAAGCAAAATTTTTATACATGGTAGATATTAGAGTTGTCCGAGACCGAAATTTTTCCAAGACTCAAGACTCAAGACCCAAGACAAAATTTTTTCCAAGACCAAGACCAAAACTCCAAGACTCAAGACCAAAAATCAAGACCAAATTTTTATATCCCATAGGTCAAATTTTTGGTTTATTTTTTGTTATTTTGATACGATCAGTCAACTTCAGCACAATTATCTATAATTTCGAAAAATTTATGCGAAATTCAAAGAATTTCGGGGAATTTATTCGTGTGGAAAATCAATAAAATAGGTTATTATTTCAGAGGATTCGAAATCGACCCCCTGGCTACGCCCTTGGATTAAGGAGGATATCGAGGTTTAAAGGGGAATTTAAGTGGATCTTTTTGCGCGCATGCGAAAATTTGTACAATTTTGGAAGGCCAAGAAGCCAGAATTCTTCATTTTCCAGCGCCGGCGAAAATTTTGGGAATTATGAAGGCCGAGAAGCCAAAAATCTTCCTTTTCCTGCGCCGCAGGCAAAAATTTTGAGAATTTTGGAAGGCCGTATGCCACAAAAATTCACTTTTTCAGCGCCGCAGGCGAAAATTTTTTGAATTTTGGGACTCAAGAAGCCAGATTTCTTCCATTTTCTGCGCCGCAGGCGAAAATTTTGAGGATTTTGGATGGCCAAGCACTAGGTCCAAAAAGGCCAAAAAACCAAGACCAAAAAATAAAACCAAGACAAGACCAAGACAAACACCCCAAGACCAAGACCAAGACCAAGACCGAAAAAAAACCAAGAAAAGTCTTGGTTCCAAGACCAAGACCAAGAGTCTCGGACATCTCTAGTAGATATCAGGTAAATATAAGGATAGAGAAAGTTTCGAAGAGATTACTTTCGTTTCAAATTTTTTACGGTTTTTTTTTAAAAATTGAGCGTTAAGAAATTATAAGACCCCTTTGGATTCTTGTACTAGAAATGTTAGAAAAATTCTACAAAAATTCCTGTGAAGAATTCATCAATATAGAGTAGAAAAGCAAAAAGAACGAAGTCTGTAAATACTTCATTAAGATCTCAAAACTCCAAAATCAACGGAAAACGGGGTTACAGTACTTCAAAAAATATTTTGACCCCCTTATTTATAACCATATTTTGACCCCCTTTCTCTATCCTTATATTTACCTGATATCTACAATTTATAAAAATTTTGCTTCATTTAGCCTGTTTGATATATGATTAACAGCAAAAAATAGGGGGGTCTTATAATTTCTTAACGGGCTTTAGTAACCTCTTTTTTCCCAAAATTTTTTCTAAATTTTAATAATCATTTATAACCGGGAATTTCAAGCCGAGTAACATCTATCGAATTTCCGTTAATTTCAAGAAATTGGAGATATCCTGGAAAGAACACTGAAGCAGATACATCAAAAGTATTTTGAATCCCTAAAACATCAAAGACCGCAAAAGGTCCGGCTGAGTCACTGAAATCAGCAATTCCTGCAGAATAATTTTGTTGTTTAAGCCAGTTTAAATGTTGATCATTTGTAATTATTTCTTTAATAATAAAATACTTTCATTTTCATATTTAAGGAAAATCTTTCATTTCGAGGGGCTGGAACCAAAAAATAACCCTTAAAAATTATGGAACTCTAAGTCAGTCAGAAACGAATCATCCGCCAAATCTCTATGCATAAACAAAATACCATAATAAATTCCAACATGGAAATATTTATCATCCATTCTATAATATTGATATGCATATTTTAGTCCATATTTTTCAATATAACTTTGATTTAATCTGTTTTTATTTATTGGTAAATAAAAAACTTCAAAAATATGTGGTGGAACTTCCACTCCGTTTTCTTTACTATGAACAAGCATATGCTGAAAAGAAAAATTTTAATAACAACATAGAACTGTAATCCAAATTATTCTGATTGATATAAAATCTGATCTTTTTTACATAAACTTTAACCAATTTTCATCGCATATTCTGATGTATTTTGGGCTTTTTTGAAGATTTTCTTAGAATTTGACTTGTTAATCAAATTAATTCTAATTTTATATAATAAACTTATAACTGTGTAATTATTGTTTCAAAACGCGGAAGGGGTAATTAAGAGGGCAATTATTAAAAACAAATATTTTATAGTAGCTAATTTCTAGAAAGCGGATTTTTATGCAATTATAATAAGAAAAATCCTATTTATCTTACCACAGTATATTTTTCTGATAGAATATTGGCCAACAATGTCTGAAAATATTTAAATAGGTCAAATAAAGTATTTTATTTATTCAGCAATATTCGAGGAGAGCAGGGTTGCGTCGTAATTGAAAATTTTTTTTTCGTAATCGATATTCGTAACTCAAAAAATGCCGTAATTCGTAATTTTTAAAAAGTACACCCCGCCCCGGAAGCATTCCTTCCCCTCATACAATTTTGATATAAAATTTACATTGAATTTCAAGTGAGAGTAGAAATAGTTGTCACAAATAAACAAAATTTTCTTTTTTCCTTCTTCATGAGCACCTCCTGAGCTTTGTCCAAAATAGCTTCCAGTATAACCTCCTCCAAATTCTGACACATTGGATGTCACACCTTGGCTCGGTTCTCCATATTCGTGTTCTCCATATCCTCCACGTTCTCCTGGAAATATTTCACCGAATCCTCCTTGAGTCCCATCTCCATGACTTTGTCTTTCAGTTTCCTCTGATTCAGAACCCTCACTTCCACTTCCAGAACTTCTAGTTCCTCCATGACGGTTACCTTCAGAATGTTCACTTATAGAACCTCCACCTCCCTTTAAGCAACTGCATCCGCTACCTCTTTTATAGCGACGTTTGTACAAAACTTTCCCCCCATTTTTAGGGCAATTACAATTTCTCTCAGCGGAAGTGTTGACAAAAATTAATAAAAATAAAATCCAAAAAATTAATTTTAAATACATTTTTGTCTAAAAATTTCAATTTAAATTAAATTAAAATTTATTTTAAAATGATAAAACCCCGTCACTAGCGAATTGTTCATGCCATCAACGCAAAAGTGAAGCAAGGAAAGTTTTAAAAAACATAACCTTATGTTTTTGGGCTCAAAAAATAAAACTCATAGAAAAAATTGAGCTCATAGAAAAATAAAAAATAAATTTTAAAATTTTTAATAGGTAAAATGACTGAGATAAACTATAAAATACTCTTTAAAATAAATTATCGAAGGGGAGTATAAATGCGTATGGGTCGGGTCGACTGTCTTTTTTGCTGAGTTGTATAAACATAAATGGCTATTACCCATTCCTATAAGGCAAAGCTATCCCTCATTAGCTTATCCTCGATAAGGTAATGAGGGATAGTATTTCTATTGTAGTCTAAAATAAGTTTAGAATTTTAAACATTAAACAAGTAAACCTTAAAATAATAAATAAAAACATAAACAACTTCAAAATATGCGTGGCGCGAGATTTAGGGATCAGACTTTTGAAGACCCAACAGTTGGGGACGAATAGAATTTTAAAAAATTTTATAAATTGGCCAATTTAAGCAAAATTGCAAATTGTAGGAGAAAAAATAACGGTCACAACTTCGTTAATTGTGTTCGTTTTATGCTTATTTTATTTAAGGGATTAATGAATTAATGGGATTAAGAGGTATATCGAGAAATGAATCCTCCGATAGCCCGTGATATAGACCAAATCCCCTGATATCATGCTGCCCTTCAAATCCTTGTTATACTATATTAGAGTTTGACCCCGACCCGCCCCGAATGATTTATTTCTGATTTATTCCCGACCCGAACCCCACCCCGAAAAAAGTGAAAACCCCGTCCTACGACCCGAAAAAGTTTCGGAGGTTCGTTGTATTTTAAGGAGTTTCGTTGTATAACTCCTTAAAATGCCTTTTTTAAGAGGAATTTAAAGAGAAAAATTCAGAAAATTCCCTCCCAATTTTCTTTGTAATCATTATTTTTGAAGGAAAAGTTACTGAAAATAAAGAAGTCTTTTGATACATAGAAGATACCGTATAAATCCATACAAATAAATGGACTGAAGATGTGGTTTTCCTCCCAGCCGCCGTAGAACCTTTTGACTAGTCTATGGAGAGAAATAACTATCGAGCTGCTTTACTAGGTGAATGATAAGTTCTTGCCAAGCAATACTACCTCCCCATCGACATGCCTTTATATGTAACACGTGGAAAATTTTTAAATAAATTTTTTTAATTAAAGGAGGTTAGAGAAAAAATTTTTTAAATTATCGACCAAATTAAAGTATTAAAAAGAAAAATTAAAAAAAAATAAATAAAATTTATTTTTTTAAATAAATATTAAATTTTTTAACATTTAATGTGAAATTTTTTAACAAAACCTCTACTACTCAGTTGTTAATTGAGTATCCGGCTTAATGTTTGCCTGTAAATATATGTATTGCATTGTCTTTATTTATATTTAATTTTATATTATTTAAATTTCCGAAGGTCACCTCAAACTAATCTGGATTTTCCTCATTAAAAGGAAAAAGTTTTTCCTCCTAGCAGAGGTGGGTCGGAATTCCGATTTCCAACTTCCGATTTCCGACGTTTTTTTCTTTTCGATTTCCGAAAAAAAATTTTGATTTCCGAGTTCCGACTTTTGAGCCTTTTCCGATTTCCGACAGTTCCGAGTTCCGACACCTCTGACTGTTCCGACCCACCTCTGCCTCCTAGGAAAGACTTTATCTTCTCTTAAAAATAATGCCGCCAAAATTGGAAAGGGCTAAAGATAAAAGAAAAATTAAGAAATCATGTAAGGGCAGTCTATTTTAACAAACAAGTGACACTCGGGAAATTTTGAAATATAAAGAAATAAAAGACCCCGCTAAACATATGAGAAAGGGCGGCATATAAATAAGTGTAAGGCGGGATTAATCAAAAGAAAAAAAAATTGTGAAATCAAACTTATTGACAAATAAGGATAGATTTGCATTTATTATACTTAATTTACATTTTATTTATTTTTTAATTTTTATTTATTTATTTATTTATTTATTTAATTTTAATAATTTTTTATAAAATAATTAGGTATAGAGTAGGGCCTCGTCTTAGAGCTGAAAAAATTATACACTAAAATGAGGAGTAAACAGTTGGGGGCTATTTCAATCCCCAGTTAACAATGGGGGGATTTGTCAATCTACAGTGTATTAAAAAAATTTTTTATAAACTACACCTAGTTTTTTAACGTTTTTCTATCTCTTATCTTTCAGTTTCCAATTACCGTATATACTTTTTTAATTACCCTCCCTCAAATAATTACCCTGCCTTTATTAGTTATCACTTCCAACGAAAGATTGAAACAATAATCACCCTCTTAAAATTAGTTATCCTAAAATAACCTCTATTATTTACCCCGCCTATCAATTACACTCTCCAGAGAGATGTCGAAACAATAATTACCCAGGGTAATTAATAGAGTATATACGGTAATCTTAAATTTTCTAGGCGATTCTAGACTTTTTATAGGGGCTTTTTTAATTTTGAACACTAATCCAAAAAAAAATCTTTAAAAAATATTTCACACGATCGGTGGTTTTATCGAGTTTTTTCTTAAAAATGGAGTTTAATAAATTATAACTCCACTTGAAAACATTAAACGAGTTGTAACCAACAAATGGAGGTATTTCAAAAGCAGCTCCTTCCATCTAAGGACCAACCAAATTTTATAAATCTGAGAGAGTTTGGGGGTCTAAAATCGAGTTCAGGCTGTATATTTTTTAATTATTTTTTAGAAAATGTATTTTAAATTAATTATTTACATATTCTTTTCTTCTTTGCTGGGGTTTCCATTATTTTCAATTTCTAAAGAATTTAAAGCTGATACAAAAGGAATTGACAATAGCACCTTTCTTCGGTATAAAAGAAGTTCTAATTACAGCACGTTGAGAGGATTTGAGGAAAAAGCTGATGAAGAATTCTCTCACTTCAAGGAAAAGGGTGAAAAAAGTTCTGGAAAAGGTTCTGATAATAATTATAAACGCCGTCCTGGAAAGGAAGAAATGGAAGAAAAAAATGTTAAAAATTCAAAAAAAGTTTTGTACATTTGCGAAGACGGTCTACTCTCGCCCTATTATTTCCACGTAATTATTTTAAGATGTTTATTATATTATTAAGAACCAAATATTATTAAGAGTCTAATTTTGGGATTTTCACATTTTTCTTACTATATGCTCTATAAATAGGTTATTATTACGGCTCCACAAAATATGCACCAAAATCGCCATATATGCGCATACATATATGCACCGAAAAAGCCCAAAATATGCACAGAAATATGCATTAATATGCATTAAGAACCGGGTAAGTACTCGGACCTTGTAAAAACACCATATTTGTGCTTCCCTCGCAAGGCATACAGTATTTTCTCGATTAATTCCCCTCCCTCGAATAATTCCCCATGCTAGAGTTGGGTTTAAACAAAAATTCCCCACCCCCAAATACCCTACTGCACGTTCAAATGCCATAACTCGAATAATTCCCTTCCCTCGATGCAATGCCAAGGAAGGGCTGAAAATGCCAAGGAAGGGCTGAAAAAATAATTCCTCATGGGAATTAATCGAGAAATACGGTATCCGCACACAAAACATGCATTTGCATGTTGTGCGAAGCCCTAGTTATTATAGAGCATATTGCACTAATACATTTATGCCAGAGACACTCATGATTATTTATATTGAATCTTAACTCGATAAACTTTTCTTAGATAATTTTTCTTGATTTTTTATAATTAAATTACAGAAAAATTTGGCAAGAATATTGTCAGAAAAATATATAGTGGTATGTTGAAATTATTTATTTTTTAAATATGTGGAGCATTTACAGGATTTGCTTGTTTATAGTAAAGAAAGGGGGCACAAAATTTATTCAGAAAATTTACAAATTATTAATATACCGGTTACTAGTAAATTATTCAAACAAACTACACTTGTACATAGTGGTTTTCTTCAAGCTTATAATGAATATCATAATTCCGACATATTTTATTTTCTTGGAATTTATACAGGTAAGAAGTATATCTTACTTATCTCGATATTAGATTTTTATAACTAGAGTTGCGCCCCGATCCCGTTCCCCATATCCTGACCCCGTTTCTGGAAGATTTTTTAAAGATTTTCCACGATTCGAACCCAGACCCGAAACAATTCGAAAACCCCGTCCCCCGACCCGAAAAAGTTTCGAAGTTTTATGGGTATACGCCCCAAAAATGTTAATTTTTAGGTGAATTTTAAGAAAAAAATCAGAAAACTTCCTAACACTTTACTTTTCCATTATTATTTTTGAAAGAAAAATGAGCCCTTAAATCCTTTCATATCCTTTCAATCTATTCAGATACCAATCCTTCAATATACTTATAAATCATGATTTCCCTTGAAACCACCCCTACTCTGTTTGAATCCACCTATATCCCCAGATCTACTATTTAATACTTTCAAATGACCTTTAATCACTCTAAATTCACTTATATTCACAGATTTACCATTTAATCCCTTCAAATCATCTTTGATTCCTCCAAATTCTCCCTAATTTTTGAATGAACTAACGAAAATTCGTAGTCCAAAGGCACATTATTTTTGGATTTTTTCTAAAAATTCAACATTTAAACACCGTTCCCCGACCCCCCCCCCCATATTTTGCTCCCCGACCCCGCCCGAAACAATTCGAAACCCCTGTACCCCGACACAACCGCCGCCGTCCGTTCGGAGCCCAACGGTCGGCGGCGACCGTTGGGCCCCGAACGGGGTACGTATAACTGTCGGGGTACGTATAACTGGGAATGTCGGAAATCTTGAAGACTTGATTCGATGTAGGATTTAATTTTATAAATTTTTATTTAAAGAAATTTTAATGAATACAAAAATCGAAATTGGAGGTATTCATTTTGGTATTCTTAAATGGCTTAAAGAACAAAAATATTCTTTTGGAATTG